TAGTTTTTCTTGTGTGGGAACAATTCAAATACAACTGGTAAAAGTAGTATATTCGAAAATATTTTGAAATTCCTTATTTGCATATCTTGCAGACTTTTAGGTAAAGCAAAGCTATTCTTGGAATCACTTGTGGAAAGTAAGGAAAACAAAATTCATGTTGATGTCAATCTCACTGATGGCTATGGAAATCCTACCGAGGTATCATTGTTCTTTCTAAAATGTATAAATAAAAAAATTTAATATACCAAAATGAAAGTTCAATGAAAAAACAACTATAGAAAGATGGAGTAGGTATATATTCTTTTTCTTTATTACTTCAGTATAAATTTTCCTGTGATCTGGAATACACATGTCCGACATCAAACGGAACGGAGGCTGACAACGATAAAGAAAATGGTCAAGAAGATGCAGAGACTGACAGTACCAAGGAAGGATGGGATTCAAAAAGGTCATTTTAGGGATTAATAGGATTTAAAATTAAATCAGTAAAAAAATAAGTCAATTGTTTCGTAGCATATAATATAAAACGAATAATGTCATTATTGTCAAACATTTGTTTGTTTTCTTAGATCGGAAGAAATAAAGAAACAGAGATTTTCCTTGCCAGACAAGCCACTTGATTTTCAGGTAGACTATTGTAGAGAAACGGAGAAATCGTATTATTCACAAACAAAACCGACTCAATTCAATTCACACCATAGATATTTCTATTCGTTCTTAACCTGTTCTCCCGGTGCTTCAGTAAAGACCGTCCTTTTTGTTGTTTCAGTGCTTGTACAATTTAGTACAAGAGGAAACAGTAGCCACCGAAGAAAACCTGCAGTGTTTCTGCGACTCAACTAGAGGCACCATTCTCCCATGGCCATGCCATTGAAATAAAACTATATTCTATAATCAGGCAACTGCATGCACACGTAAAAACGAGCAACTGTAACAAACCAATGATGATTCATCAACTTGTTATCACGATTTAATTGTTCGCACTGCTTGCCTACAGCTTGTTGACAAGTTGTGAACGGCTTGTTGACAACTTGCTACAGCTCAACACTATATACATACAGACTTGTTACAAGTTGTTCCAACCAACAACTTGTTACCGTTCTTCAATTCGACAACTTGTTAACAAGTTGTGAGCGACAATTTAGTAACAAGCTGACAACTAGTTGTTGGCAAACTTGCTTTGTCAATAAGAACACATCTTACGTGCAGTATGAGTGAAATGGAGCCCAGAACGAAAGTTGAAGACACGTGCACTAACCGCTGTGCGTTTCCGTTAAGTAAAATAGTGTACTAGTCTTTAACTTTGGTAGTCCATCTTTCTTACTGCAGATCCGCATCAAAGTGGTTGAAGCTCGTCAACTTGAAGGGAATGACATTAATCCTGTTGTCAGAGTTACTATTGGCAACAAGAGGAGACAAACGCGAGTGCGCCAATCAACAAACAGACCTTATTATAATCAGGTATCAGTAAAGTTAAATATTACGTTAAAAAGTCCAGATGGCATTTTTAATGATGCTTTGTCTACCTGAAACATTCCCTTTTCAATTATCACTAACAATGGTCCATGAGTGTGTAGTTGATCATCCTCGACATATGAGCACCAGGATTAAAGAATCTAATCCCCGTGCCAAAGATGCCAATATATGTGCATGTGAAAAATAATATACTTAATTTAGATTACAGCTAAGTGTCCGCAGAATTTTTGCCATGATTGTAGGGATCGAGGCATGCTTCCGGAAAATTTCAAATCTTAGAAATCCAGTATGGCCATTTTCTGCGTTTTTAGATAAAGTTTTTGTTTTATGTAAAACACTGTATGAATATGAATTACACACCCTCTTTACAGTATATTATCTGGTTACCCTGAGGTTTAACATTTTCAAATTATTCCAGTTTTCGTCAATTTGCTAATGCTGATATGCTTTTTCCTTTCAGACTCTATTTTATAGTTTCTCAGCAATTACTCCAAATGAACTTTTTGGCAAAGAGATAAAATTTGAGGTACAATTTTTTCTCGTTTTTCGTTTCTTTTAACATCGATCATGTGCTTAATTTTTCAATTTTTTTTCCACATTCTTAATTTTTGTTTTTTTTTTCACTTTAAACAAGGTTTTCAACTCTCGCCTGCTGCGTTCAGATTCGTTGATTGGAGTTTTCAAGGTAAGTCTGTTTTAGTACAGTAGAACGTACCCAGCTATCTCGAACAGCCAAGGGAAACAAAACAAAACAAAACTCGAGATAGTTTGAGGTAACCAAATGAGTGTCATGATCAATGACCCATTGTATAGACTTTTATTTTTGAAATGTGCAACTGGAAACCCCTTGCCCGATGATAACTACCTAACTTAATAATTCAGGAAATTTATCATTTTACTACATTCCCAACTTGCTTATTAAGCAAAAAATACTCAATATTATTATGATCCAGTACAATGCAGTCCGTATGGACTCTCTCGTTTTAACCTTTTGGGATGTTTTTGCTGGATTTTTATTATTTTTGAACATTGTACATGTAACTGAGGTATGTATTTGTTTTGTATTCAGTTCATCTAATTTCATTTTACCTTCTTGCACCTTTGGCATATCTATAAATACAGTTCAGAAGTTGATTTCTATGTGGAAGCAGCTAGATTGCTAAAGTATTTACTTAATTAATATGACAATTTGTGCAAATATGCTCTAATTATTGACTGCTTCATGAGTTTGCACCAGCGTGATATCAAAAATGAACAAAGCCAAGGGAAAATCGAAATACCCTAGCTGCTTATGACTTGCAAAATCGAGTACGCAACACAAAACGCACTTCACATATTCTACATTGCGTAAAAATGCCTTCTCGAACCTCGGTACCTACACCAAAGACTCGTGTCTACTGTTCACTTCTAGTTGATCTTGACAAGACGTTCAAAAAGGACGATTTGTACATATTAAAGTTTACTTTAAAAGATGTCATTCCTGAAGGCGTTTTAGAAACGCTTTATCGACCACTCGATGTATTTTCAGCCCTGGAAGAGCGCGGTTATCTTGGACCAGACAATCTTGACAAACTCCGTGAGTACCTTGGTTCCGTCGAACGCCCTAAATTGATTGAGATGGTTGATCAATTGGAAGATGCAGATACAGAATTCCCTTTAAAGCCGAGATCAGAGAATCGTCTTGAGGAAGGCGGCTACAGTGTTTCAGTGAAAGGTGGCCGTCATTTTGATACAAGCAAGGGAGAATTCGTAGAAGTTAGAAGTGGTTCAAACTATGGCCTCACTTTGGCGAATCAGAACAACCACCAATGTTTGTTCTACGTTGAGATCGACGGTTACGAAATGTTCCCCAACGGATTTATATTGGGCCCAAGACAAAACTATACGATAGAACGGCCATTAAGAGTACCCAAAAAGTTTAAATTCTTTGAAATTTCCGATGCACCCGCTGGATCTGGTATCAACAGATATCGTAAAGATAAAAATGGCTTAATTCAAGTAAAATTTTGTTCCGAAAGAGCAGATATGAAAATTACTTGCGTGGCATCTGGCTCTGAGGCGCAAACCATATCCTGTTCGACAAATATCCTCGATACCCGCTTCCTGAAATTGGTCTCAAATGTATTTGGCAATGCGGCCGTGACTGTAATGATCACTCCATGTAAACCATTGGGCCAAAGAGGGGTGAAACTCGTCGATTATGGCGTTCGTGATGGGTCGCGAGTTAATGTGAGTTTGGGCGTAACTGGAGGCAAGGATCCCGTCAACAGCTTCCCATCCAATGGGAGTCTGAATGAATCGTGCAAGATTACCAAGAGGAGTATGTGGAATGCTGGAGCAACAACCTTGGAAGGCGATAGTGATCAGAAATTTGGAAGCGGAAAAAAATTTGCAATGGATATGTCCCTAGCCGTGACCTTAACCCTACGCCTTGTTTCTCGTGAGAATCAAACACCATTACCATCCACAGGCAACCCAACCCCTCTCACAAAAGCTACCCGTATACCTCCACCTGTTCAGAGCTATAATTAAGGATACCGCCATTGCATGCATCTTATTTGTGAACATTTCTATAAAGTTTATATTATTACATTTGGATTTTTTCTTCTACAGTATAAACGTATAGTAGGAATTTTTTTACTATTTCTGTAATTTTTTATATATAATAGCTGTAACAGAAGCCTATAGCTCAAACGTCGCACTTTATCACTAGTAGTAATGTAAAATAAAGTTTTTTGATCTTATTTGCATTATACTATATAGGTTTGGCACACGAAAAGTTGGACGTTGGAATTAGGCCTTGTATAACTGACATATAAAAGCTGATATATACTTGTATTATTATCCTGCATGTAATGAATAGCTTGGCACAGAACTGAGTAGGAAGCTGGATATAAGACTTAACTATATAACTTTATCATCAGTAATTCAATAGTTCATACGAACTGCATCTATTTACAGTATAGTATGCAGTAATTCTTGTTATTTAATTGCAGTGACAATATGAATAAATTGTGTAACCTACATAAATTAAACTTAACGATTGGTTGTTTATAACCTCGTTTATAACAACAGCATTTTTAGCTTTTTTTCAATCTCTTTGTTTGTTTTCCATGTGGAAACTGTAGGCCTGTTGTGGCATCATAATTTGACGAAAAGACTATTGAAATGAAATTATGTCTCATTGAAGATATTATGTCTGTATATACACATTTTGGGTCGTTAGAGCGATCTCAAACCAATCCCGGCCCCCAATCCCAGACCCCAATCCCAGACCCCAATCCCAGACCCCAATCCCAGACCCCAATCCCAGACCCCAATCCCAGACCCCAATCCCAGACCCCAATCCCAGACCCTAATCCCAGACCCCAATCCCAGACCCCAATCCCAGACCCCAATCCCAGACCCCAATCCCAGACCTGTTTCGTGGACTTAATTCATGTTGAATGTCCACACTTGAACAAAAACCCGAATAAGTTAACCGAATTAACTAGCGGGAAGAAATACCAGGCTGCTAAGCACTAGCTTTATATGTGGAAAGTGAACCGATCCATCATCTTTGTACTGTAATATATAATGTATTGATTGCCTGGGAGTGCAAATACATTTTCACACAATAAAAAAAACTATTTTCGAACTAGTACTGGGGAAATCGCTTCGGTTCCTCCTGGGATATTTTCGGGGCCCCTTGACTGGAAATCCTGGCTACGTGACTACGTCACAGCTAATTCGTTGTGTTCGAACATAGTATCAACCTTGTAGATGTGCATGAAACCCAACTTGAAGAATTTTTTTGTATTGAGGGTGGTTGTCACCAACTAATTTTTGGTTTATTTTCCTTCAGTGTGATGTGGGATTTGTTTACGACTCCAAAGGTAAAAATGTTACGTAAATCATTGGACACTTATATTCAAAAATTCCGTTCAAATAAATTAAATCCCTTTTGTATATGACCAAATATTGAAATTTTATCATATCTGGCTTTACCTGTAAGTTGCATTGCGTCCTAATGCGCCTTGCTTTATTATTACACTCTGTCTAATGCCAGATTATTTCACTGTATATTTTCATTCTTTTTAAAGATCACTCACTTCTTCGCAAATGGTTAGTTCTTACTGAGCCAGACGACCATGAAACTATCAAGGTATGATTGCATAGTGTCTTGTCAGGTTATGTAAACTTGCACAATGGACTGTCTCGAACACTACAACTTGGACTTTTTTTCTGGAAATGGAATGACTATTTCGTGCATGATTGATTTCATACATTTGACAATGAAAAAAAATTCAATGAAAAAAAAATAAAAGATTTTTGCGATCATGCGCTGTACTTTGATAGTTCGTAAAGCGACATGCATTCACTGCCTATGAATTCGAGTCGCATTTTTGTACGCAAGCCATTTTAATCTGGTTGAAAAAAACAGCGCTTTTGAACTCGAAAGTTGAATTCTGAGAGAAACTTTAATCATTAATGTAATGATATTGTGGTTTATGTGCTCATATGAAATCATTTGAGACGATGTTACTGTGAATGTGCGGACACCTCAGAGTAGCATCATCTAAAAAAGCAACTTTATTGTTCAAGACTCTTAACACATATTATTTCACAAAAGTTGAAGAACAGTTTCTCTGTATTAGGATCAGGAGCAGTCAGCAACTACTCAGGATGAAACTCAAGATTCTGGTGGAACACTAGCTGTTAGTTGATATCGTACAATTAAAAATATATTGCATTCAGTGCTCATATACAAAGTCAAAGGTATCATTCAACTTCGAAAATCATTTAAGTTTGTATTTGCTTTTTACCTTTTGTAGGGTTATGTGAAAACCAGTATGGTTGTGTTACAACCTGGCGCCACTGCTCCGGTATGTATAAAAAGTACTCAAACTGACCATGTCTAAAATAGATTATGGAAACTAAACTAAAGCTAAACTATATACCCTTATTATAACACTGGATGTAATACATTTATCAATTCTCAAGTATTTTCCTTAGGTCCAGTTAGGTTAATCCCTTATTCGTCCAGTGTTAATGGATGTTTATTTTAGGTTGCCGAAAATTGCATGCAGTGTTTGGTAGAGTCAAACTGGAAGCTCTCTTATATATAACTGAGGCAAAATTAAAATCAGAGAATTCATAATGCCGAATTAGAACCAGCGTCACTGAGGGGAAAGCAAAAAGTCAGGACCGGAACTACTGGGGAGGGGTGTGGGGGGTGTAACATTACCCCAAAGAATAGTAAAAAATGGGAGCGCAACTTGCGGACAGGGGGCCCTGGAATGCTGGAATTCCGGAACATGTTAAATATTAAGGAATTTTTTGGGAAATTGAGGTCGAAAAAGGTCTGAAAAACTAAATTTAAACCCCCATTATGTAAAACTAGTATTTGGGACGTTCTGTTTTCGGAAACAAAACGTCGACCCCTTGCCGGCGCGGGACGGCCCTGCAAAATTAAAGTACTAACAATTGACACGATACCAACAGTAACGTGTGCGTTTTCCTCTTTCTTTGTAGTCCCTAGAAGACACTGGTAAAAATTCTGATGACGATGACATAGAAACGTAAGCAACACTATTGTAACTAGATCGAATATTCGAATGCAAATTTCTATACAGTTTTGGACGCAACCACACTGTAAATTTCAAGGAGTAAATGAATCAACTCCAAAATTGTTGTTCTCTCACCAAAACAGTGACAGAATAACATTTTTCACAATTAACAATTTTCAATTTTCACAATTTACAGTGCAGGAGCAGTTGCGAAAAATGCAACTATAAGTTCTTCGCGGCTGGAAACGAGAGGACTTTTTCACTTACTTACATTTTTCACAACTATAAATCACTCATTTTAGTGAGTTTTCCTAAATTGTTTCAATGTCAGGGCCGTACGCAATTTTTCATCAGGAGGGCAGTAAGGCCTGTATGCCGGAAAATGTCCCAAATACCCAAAGAGTTGCCCCCCACCCTGCACCTCCCAGGCTGTTGCACGGCCCTATTCAATGTAATATATTTTTTCTTTTGAAATTAGAAATTTGCTGCATTCACCAGGAGTTGCTCTTACTCCAGCACTTTTCATGCTAAGGGTATACCGAGCAGAAGATCTCCCTCAAAGTAAGAAAAAATTTCCGCTCGATTTTGCGCTTCATGTTCGCCCATTGAACATTGTCCTTTTTCACGAGTAAAATCGTCTGGCGTTAGACAGAGTAAAATAACAAAGTAAAGCAAACCAAGACTCATTGCGGCTTAATGGATAATTTGGATAACCAGAGCCATGAATGTAAAACTTAATGCCCGAGTGAAATATAACAAAGTAAGGAGTACTGCACCGTTTTGTGATTGCATTAAAATATACTGGATAACTAAGAATGTATATGAAAGTATTATTTCACGATTTGTACCTTAATGAGCTCGTCTTTTTTCTATGTTTCAGTGGATTCTGCCTTTGTTCAAAATGTTAAAAAAACTTTGCGAATTCGGAAGGTAAAATATCTTAGCTTTTCAAAATGACGTTTCCTCTCTTATCCTGATCGGAGTCTCGGCCTATTTTTCATTAAAGATAGCGGCAGCTGAGGCGAACAGTTTGTCTTCATTTCTTCATCTCTCACCTTCTTTACAACCGTTCTACCAACTCACATCTTTCATTTATCACATTGTTTTTTGTCTTGTCCCTCAGAATCCATCTCAATCTCATCCATCTTGTCATTGTGTTTTCTTTCGCATCCGAACAGCAGTGCCCAGCCTCGCGCTTGTTTCTTGGATTTTTCGTTTTAGGTTTCTTGGCACTTTCCAGCACAGACATGTCCTGGCTGCTGTATATAAAATAAGCATGAAAGTATCTTCAAAACATAAATGAATTCTATAAGGTACTATTTTTTTAACAGCATCCAAAAGATCTGGTCGATCCATATTGCGTTGTAAATTTTGCTGGGATTAAGGTTTGTTGTAATATTTCTATTTGTCTTGTTGCAACCGTTCTATAACTTGATTTAATAATAACTTTGTCAATTGATTCCTTGACACTATTCAACTTATAGGCAACCAGTGAAACAATTTATTCTTCAAATAATCCAACATTTAATGAGATCTTGAATGTACCATTTCAAGTAAGAACAATTTATATGTCTTGTATATATAATATTACACACATCTTATCAATAAAAATTAAATATAAGCAGTAAATTGCTAAAGATATAAGGAATAATACATTGGTGCGCGGAAATACCAGATTTATTTCGAGTGTTGAACATGATATCTCACGAGTGAGCGCAGCGAACGAGTGAGATATAATGTTGAACACGAGAAATAAATCTGGTATTTCCAAGCACCCATGTATTTTTCTGTTTATTATATAAAGGACAGTCTTTGAAAAGTGATAATTTGTACAGAAAAGCGATATTTGAAAAGCGATAATTTTCACATGTGAGATTATCACGAATAATCTCACATGTGAGCTTATCACTTTTATCAGTGCTCGAAATCTCTATAAAGCACTATACTTTATATAATAATAAACAGTTATGTTCAATCTATTCTCCTCCGCCGAGTTAGTAGAGATATGCATTGAATTTTATGGTATCCTTTTACTATTTATGTACCATTTTTACAATGTCTTTTTTAGTTCCCATCCATGTGTGATAAACTTAAAATTCAGTTAGTCGACTGGTAAGTTATGCATGGGTCCAAAAGCACACACGAATTTATCAACTACAAAGACATTAGACCATACTTCTTACTATTAAGTAAAAAATATTTTTATGTCATTAGGGATCGCGTGACCGCAGACGATATCATTGGAACTAAATATTTACCTTTGTCAGAAATTTCTGGAAATGGCGGCGCAGGTATGTTGCAAGATAATTATTTTCAATATAACATTCACAGTCAGAATATCACTCCTAGCATCGTCTCGTAACTTCGTTTTTAAAAGACGTGTCATGCAAGCTTCATTTGTTTGCGATTCAGGTTATCTGCCATGTTTTGGTCCATGCTACATCAACCTGTATGGTTCGTCAAGAGAGTATTCAGATTTGCCTAACGAGTATGAAGAACTGAACGCTGGAAATGTGAGCAAATTTGATAGTTTTTCTTTATTTTTCTCGCTTAACTCGGCTTAACCCACTTAGGGCATTTAATTAAAGAAATAATTAAATGTTTAAAAACGAGAATCGACTAAAGAAACTGAGAATAGATGATGTTGAAAAAGCTTTTTATATCTATCCAAACTTCCTTCTGGTTGTAAAGCAGCACTATGTCAACTGCAATTCCAAATGTTTTTGTCCACATTCATTTAGGGTGAGGGCGTTGCTTATCGTGGTCGAGTTTTGGTTGAACTAGATACTAAGCTCAATGCAAGTTGCACCGCAGAGAAAGACGCAATAAGTCAAACAGATGCCGTTAAAGTGCAAGTAAGCGACAATCAAGAGATCAAACAATTTTGACGTTTCTTTGTCTCCATTTACCTTCATTACCTTTCTTCTTCTTCAGCCGTTCATGCGTCGTTCGAAATTCCGTCTTCTTGCAAGTTTTTTGGAAGCGACCATGCTTTCCGTTCATGATTCACCCATTGAATTTGAAGTCAGCATCGGTACGCAAAATTTTCATTTTTTGAACTTATATCTAATGTAGTTGAACCTTTAGTAGGAATAATTTTAGTAGAAAAAATTTTTTCCGGACATATCAAAATTTTTCGGAAAATCACACAAATTTTCAAAAAAAAAAAAATTGACCACAAAATTGACTGAATATTCCACTAAATTGACAGAATTTGTCCCATTTATTTGTATTACAAACCAAAATTTCCCGACTGTTGATCGAATATTGCCCGACTGCCCAAAA